GAAACGATGGGCACTAGGTTCAAGTCTCAGTGGTAATACCTTCATGAACCCACTGGGTAATGCAGGTAAGTACATTAAGTTGACGTGCCTTAAATAGGAAAACATTTGTATCCTTGATTCCACTTCTGGTCACCATCAACCAAAGTACGTTCCCTACTTTCCTAGATAGAACACAAAAACTGATATAATAAAGCGCATATAATTCTGTAAATGAATATTACTTCATGGGTGGTAATATGTATGTCCAAAGTTAGAAAAAAGTTTTTTTTAAAAACTCTTTAATGGAATTATTATATATCTTTTTTAATAAAAATAAATGAATGACATTCAAATGCACTTAGTACCACTTTATTTCATTTAGTCGGTTTTCATTTCACTGAATACGAGGATGAACTAATTCATTTATTTATTAACCTAATAGCACTGAGATATATATATATGTACGTAATTGTGTACAAAAAGTAAAGCCAACTAAATGAAAATTAGATGTAGGGGGATGTTTTGTAGTCATCCGCGAATTTAGGACATTAAAAGGTTTTGATATCCTTCTGTCAAATACAGAATGACCACTTTGATCTCGGGGTATATGATAAATGCATACTCCTGAAGAGTTTCAGACTAATGGCGAAGCAATGCTTCCTGATATTCAATAAGTCTATATCTGATGTCATCTGGTATTCCTTGGTCAAGCCAAATGGTAAAGACTGAGATTATCTCATTGGATGAAATGTCACGTTTGAATTCAACAATTCTATCTTATGAAATGTGCATCGATGGCACCTCAATAGAATGATCGCCGACAACGCATGTAGTTTGAGGGTACAATCCCCAGCATATTCACTCCCTTACCTCGCTAAGATAGTGATGAAACTGGTAAACAGGGAGGTTCGGCATGATGCTAGCAACCTCATCCAGCAAAAAAACCAATGCTGACGAAACTTCAAGCCTCTAGCTTGAAGCCCTATGTTTCATAAAGAATAAAAAGGTTTGTTAAGTGAAGAAGCTGTTTGAGGACGAATTCGTTTCTTCTGGCTGTTTTCAATTATTACTATCATCATTATAGCCTAGAGTTACGAGTGGAATAAGCGGACTTAACAGAACGTCTTCATTTTTTCCTGCCCTCTTCACTCCTGCCCATAACCTCTCATCCCCACCTCACATGATTTTCTCTATGCCATCCTTGAAGCAATGCTTAACTCGCTGTTTCCCATTCAGGTGTCCGAAGCGTCTCCACTTTCTTCTGAATATTTGTTCAACAATATGTTCTCCGTTCCTCGTCGCGAATTCTTTCTGTCCATCTGATCATCAATATGGAGCTCAGGAAACTGTTGACATAAGTCTTCAGTAGCCTTTTGGAAATGCTTTTAGTGACGTGTAGTTATTTTAGAGTGATAAAAGTCTGTCTTAACCTTCTGATTCTGGTTTTGACATCCTCATCCGTGTCATTTGCCTGCAGTTGAAACGATGCTGCTTAGATAAGTGAAGGAGGTGACCTATATAGAATTCCTTCTTTTGATAGTGATTGGTTGTTTATATTCATCACCTCCGTCTTCTTTGTATCCTTTCGGTGTGGAACTTCATTCATATACAGTTTTTCACTAAGGACTTTAGTAAAAACGTGATGAGTTGTTATAATGATAATTAGACAGATAATCACGTAGTAGTTCAGCGAAGAGTCTCTTTTCGGTGAATTCATTTTCATAGCTGTACAATCACAAATATTCTCTAATTCTTTTACATTCCAAGTGGAACATAGGGCTTCAAGCTAGAGGCTTGAAGTTTCGGTAGCAATGGTGTTTACTTTTACGAGATGGGGTTGCTAGCCAAATGCCCAACCTTCCTTTTTTATCAGTCTTATTAGTAGCTTAGTGAGGTAAAGGAGCGCGTCCATGACGAGAATCGAACACTGGACCACATGTGTGGTCGGCGAACATTCTACTGCTGTGCCACCAACGCACACGAAATCACAAATATACATGGTTGTTTTGTATGTACGGAATTGCGTTAGACTTTTAAGTTTTAACTACTTAAAGCTCTTACATCAAACTATCCATGTTATTACGTAACCCTTCTTTAACAATCGTTTGTGACAACTCATCACTTTTGTTACAACCCTCTTATATCAACATCCAATTCATCTGAACGCCCTTTGTATAATGCAACTCCACCAAAAACTTACTAATTGCATATTCGTTTGACAAATATAATGTACACTCAAGTACAAAACAACCATGTATATTTGTGACTGTACAGCTATGAAAAATAAATCCGCTGAAAAGAGACTCTTGGTGGAACTACTGGTTTTCCGTCTATTCATGTTCAATATAAGAATAAAACATGCGCCCTGTAATAGAGTATAATTCTATTATGGGTAACAATTGCTTTGATAAAATCTCACAGTGTTATACAGTAATATTTACTGACGACGTTTCGAGCACAAATAACTGCTCATAATCGTATCAAGATATGATTATGAGGAATAAATTATGCTCAAAACATCATCAGTAAATATTACTGTATAACACTGTGTGACTTCATCAAAATAAATTTTACCCATATTGGAATTATTCATGTTCAAATGGGGATTTTTCATGGAATAATTATAGTTGTTTATATTAATCAGTACACACGAGGAGTTGAATTATGGTATAAGAGTTAAATAATAAGATAAATAATTCAACGAATGAGATGTAATCAGGAGGCACAATGAAACGTAAGACTTAGAATGATATGCAGGAGTTATAAAGAGGTTTGAAAAAAAACAAAATTAAGTTAGGAAAAATCAGTATGGTTGTTACTATTACAGTAGAAGTGGCTGAATAATTTTCCTATGCATTAAGGACTCCACTTTTTCTGTATGAATGACAACAGCATCACAAATGTAAGGGAGACGAAAACGTATACTCTCAAGTTATTTTGAAGGAGGCGTTTATTGAGATAGAATGACTAGTGGTGACGTAGTGTTTAATTATCACACTCTGTATAGAGCCACTACTGATATTTTGAAACCATGTGGGATGGTGTTCTTAAATCCTTTTATGCAGGATATACAGGTACACCTGGCTCCAAAAGTAGAGCCGAACTGATATACGCGTATTGAAGTTGTGAGATGTGAGTTCCTACTTTCAAGATTCTGCATACCAGTGGATGACTGGATGATACTACTCTTAGATATGCTGTGAAGACTGTTCTTCTCAAAGATAATTAGACCCTTCTTTTAAGGATATCTCAGGTTAAGTCTCCCTTGAAATCAGCGTTCGCGTGAAGTTTCATTTTTGTTTTAGTGTTTTTCTCTATGAACCTCGCTGGTTATACATTTTGGATGAGGAATTCTTTCAGGTCTAATTCTTCTTCTAGAGATGCTTTGATGCCGAGTGATAAGATATTTAATTAAATTTCATTCCCTTTCAATAGGCACTAAAATAGAGAAACTCGTTAGTTGACCGTTCTATGAGGAATTCTTATGGACTCACCTTCTAAAATATCAGCTCACTTAACAATGCTCCAGTTCTACGAATACTTAGGGTACCTCCTGCCAATGAAATATTTTACTCTAGTCAATATACTAACTACCGGGCACAAAAGATTTTTATATCATGAAAAGTTTTTGCAGTATCCTCACGACAAATCGAACTTGGGACCTACTGGTTTCAGCCACTGGAACTTCTGCCAGTTGGAGATCTATAGCGCTACAACCAGCTAAAGTTATCGGCGAGTATTTTTCACAGTACACAACATGCTGGACCACGAATTCCCACAAGAAATTCAGCAAACTGTATCCTTTAGTCTATCATTAATCGGCATTGGATTGTTTCTTAAGTGGTTGTCTCAATAAATTTCATTCGGGATCAATTTCGAAATCAGTTGAATACCTGCAAACTAAGACCCGTTTTTATTTAATATACTTAGAAAATATTTTTAAAGATTCTAAAGATTCTTGAGACGTTTTATGAAGCGTAATCTTTTAATTTTAGATTTTGTCTAGTAGATCTGATATCATCATTTTTAGTAGTACTGTACGTTATTTAACATATACAGTATTCAGTGCTTATAACTGAAGAATGGTATAATACTGGAAAACACTTTCACTGGATATAAATATAAGTATCATGATAAATATGAGGATTACTTTGAGGAAGTTTGTATCTACTCTTCGTTTAAGGAGCAGTCTGAGCTATTGGTCCGTGCTATCAACCTGTCGATGATTAGCGACTGACTGATAGATGTCTGATGGTTCAACAAGAAGTCGTCATTGGTAGGATTCACTGTGTCAGGATGAAGCTTGCTCTTATTGAGTGGTATTGATTTGTGGCAGCACCATATCTTGGACTAACAGTGGTTAGAATCCACGGATGGTTGAATTGTAATGCAGTTGATTAATAATTAACATCTGTTTCTTCCTAGTGTTAGACGTTTCCACAGTATCCACCCACCGAGAATCAAAGGAGGACCCTTTGGTCAATAAAGGGTCCTCATAGACCATTCAGCTAGTGCGAAACTATTCCATGACCTATGAATTCCGATTCTCGACATAGATATAGCTTTCCAGCACTCCCTCGTTTTCCACTGGAATTTGTAGCTGATATCGGCTCGTGATCATTCTTGTAACCCGTTATATTCCTGAAAACCAACTCTTGATAATTAATCTAGTTTCCATCAGACACCGACTGCATACTGGAAGTTAGGTAGAGTTCTAGTGAGAGGTCTTAAATAACGGGGTCCATCAATTCATATAAGGGAACACCTATTCGCCTATCACATTGGCTGGTGGTTAGTCGACAGAAGTTAAAATTCATGACTTTTATTCTATCGGGTGTCTGCAAGCTCGCTTTATAAGAGGAACGTTTTTAGTTCGAATTCCGATAGTTTCATAATGTTGAAAATCTGTCGTGCCTGGCAAATATAGAAACAACTTCATGGAATATTACAATAAACCTATGATGCTTTATATATACATATATATATATATACTTAATGGCCATGCCTCTTTTCAATTTTAGGCAAGCAGACGCAGACGAGAAATGCGACAGAAAGATAAAGACTACCGAGTAAGTCACTGTGGTATTTTCAGTGTCTATATTTTTCATATTTTATTTTGCCGAAATATACATGCCAAATAGGCATTTCATTCTTCGAAACAATTTTCATCATTAAGAAATCATTTTAAGTCCTAAGAGTGACAGCGTTTAATTTTCGAAAGGAGCTAATCAAGTCTAGATCAGTTATTAATATTCGACTTTTCATGGTCATGTTTCGTCATATTGAACGATGTCTCTAGAGATATGGTGATGAAGCAGGGCCACCTACTACAGTAAGCTCAAAGGTCTCAGTTAAGCATCAGAAATGAGAATCCCAAACTATAGTGGTTTTCCCACACAAATTTTAGGCAAATAAACAGTATCAATGTTTGTATAGTGTAATGAACCAGTCACGCTTCCAATGTGTTCACCAACCTGAGTGACTCATTTGACTGTTGGAGGCAAATCTGAACCTACGTTTGTTGCTTTTAGACACTTGTCATCAAAATATAATTGCGAAGTCAGAAAAGTTGATGCTGTATGTGAAACTGGAACGGTCATTATTCCCCTTGGGTTCCAAGTGGTACACAGAGCTTCAGTAGCACACCTATACTTTGTTCCATTCTCTGCAGTCTTGTTCAGCTGGCCTCATTATTGCCCATAGTCTCTCATACCTTCCTCCCACGGTTTCCTTCATATCACGCTTAGACCCCTAACTCGTCCTTTCCCATTAAAGCCTAATTTGCTATGTCACCCGATGATATCCCCGACATATGCCAAGTCCCTCTTCACTTTCTTCAGGATATATTCTTGATTTATTCGTCCTCAGAGCTTCTTGCTGCTAAGTGTTCTGAGCAGCGGACTGATCTTCAGTATGGAGCAACGGAAGATGTTGATAAAAGTCAGAAGTAGTCTGCCTGACGCAACAAGTTTCTGACCCACATTACTACTAAACTATGTCGGCCTACAATAGACCCCCATTAGGACTGTAATGGATACATAGTTTTGTTGCTAGGTAGTAAATAATTTTATGGCTTCGTGGAGATAGTCTTAAACCAACACTGAACTTATGGATTCATTGACAAAATCCGCGCAGTAAACAAAGACATTTTCTGGTGAGGAAAATACTCACAATTTTATCGAGAGGATGAATTCCAAGAAATACAGATGAAAAACGAAGTCCTACTTAAGATAACGATTACAGTTTCCAGGATGTTCAGCAATTAACACTTATCAAACGAAAGACTCAAGGGTTCCAGACTTACCGATTATCTTTAGAGGCATTACATTGGTTCTGCCTTTAGAGAATGTAATTAAAACTTTCTTACTAACCTCTTATGCAATGGTTAATAAATTCAAAAAGTAATAAAGTCGTCCCAATTTGACCAAAAAAAAACGTTACGTACGACCTATTGGATCAATCCTCAAATGACAGACCGATGTCTTGTCTGGTCCTCCTTAGAGCCAACGAAACAATTTAGTCACATTCGTGATTCGATCGTCAAGAAAGGTGGCTAGTCATCACTATACGCAGTGAATTGATACTGACAGGTCATAGGCAGGAAGTTCCATAAGCAGGTATTTTGCCTACTGGCAGCCACTTCCAAGATATGTCTGCAACTTCAGTTAGTCTGTTGTCCCCTCATCTCCCTGCTGAAGTCAAGGGAGTTGTCACTGAATCATTTGTATCTGCCGACCGTCTAATATACATTTATTTACCTAATGCTACCCTTTCTGCTTCTGTTTTTCTTTTTGTATATTATCCGTTCATTTGCTTCTGTGTTGATTCGATCCCGTTAAAAACGTCTTGTCCTTCAGAAAACTCTGTGACTTAAAGGAGAAAGTGGGGTTTCAGATTTCAAACCTTCCATCGTGATTACTAAGAATCTGTTAGTTTTGCTTTTTTCCGGTGAAATTGGAATTATTATTCCCAATGCATCGGTGGTGCAGTGGTAAAACACCCGCCAACCACGTCTCATGCTGTCTGAGGATCAGTCTACGGCCAATGCACTCCTGAAAATGTGAAATTCCCCACTGATAAGTTGAAAACAGCATAATCTTTTCATCACTGCCATGGCTTAAATCTTAGTAGTGAGCTCCTTTGAAACCAGATTATTAGAAATATTCGCCTATCTTAGTGTTTAAAATTAAGTAAATTATGCTGTAAGACTTGTGAAAAATCGAGCTACAACACATTCTAAAATTTGGTCTCTGGCATCATCAGTGGGCGTTTTGTTTACACAGTTGGTTTTCTGGCGTCACGTCTAAACTCCCCTCCTTGTCAGGCTCATCACTGGCTAATAGGGTGAGGGTTATTGGTGTGAACGGTGGGGTACGGAACCCCTCACCACGTCAGGCGTGGTTGGTGAGCACGGCTGAACCAACGACGCACTTGTTCTACACATGAACCACATCAATTAAACATTCCACCGATATGAACACAGGTTATTTCGCGCTATTTGTTCAATGTTTCTAGTATGCATATACATATATATATCCTCGTATACTGTTTAGATAAACTTTATTTATTTCTATTATGTTAAAGTTTATATTCTATAAACTTAATCTAATTACATATTTCTTATTCTCTAACACATTTTTTTGTATCACCGCACGTATTCAATCAAACGTTGTGGTTTGTGGTTTCATTTTTTTTTCACTTGATAAACACTATACAAAATTGTGTTATTTAAATGTGCCTGCACGCATAACTCTGGGTAAAAATCAATGTGTTATCGTGTTCAATGTTAAATGTGTGTGTGTGTGTGTTTGTTTTTCCTTTCGTTCGAATTTCTGTATCTACATTTGTGTGTGTATGTTTATGGACTTGCACTAATCATTTAATTATTTTGACCTACTGATATCTATGTTCGTGTTGGGCAACATTAATTTAATCTGCTCTGTTCATTATATGTACGTGAAACACTTAAATGTATAAATCCACCTATCTATCTGTGTTCATATATATGATACACATATAAATATTCCCATCTGGTTATTTACATGGACATATAAAAGGCATTTTTACAACGTAATCGGCAATGGCAATCATCAGAGAAACAGAAAGAAGTGGTGCATGCAACCACCTCACGACATTCATCATTTTCTGTTCAAACTGCATGTTAATAGCTATACAGAACAGAAGACATTAATAATACTAACAATTAGCCTTATATAAATGAATATCTTACCAATGTATTTATGTAATAGAATTGAATTGAAATGATATTTAATATTTAATAAACAAAATCTTCGTGGATTCCTAAAACAAAAAATAAAAATAACAAAATAATAAAACAAGGTCAATCTTCGGTGTTAGCATTCCTTAGAATTATTTACACCAATATGGAAGAAATTGCACATTTATGTAAAAAGTAACCTCAACAGTGAACTACTGTTAATGTTTCACTGTTAGTTGACTATAACGGAAGATGGATGGTATTAGGAAATCAAAATTATTCCATTGAATAGCCACTCATTGAAACGCTTTACAATCATTGTTTACCAATAATGACTCTGAGTCGGTGGCACAGCGGTTAGGACTCTCACCGATCATGCACATGGTCTGAGGTTCGATACCCACCGACGCTCACCTGATATCTATGGTTGGCCTGCTAAATTTGGGCTACCGATATCATACACTGAAAATTTCATACTTGTACCAAAATACTGTGTGGAATCAAGCTACAATAAAAAATAAAAAAATAAAACACCTAATAAAGGTCCGCTTGAAAGGTAATAGGGCCAGAGGGAATTTTCTTTCGGAACCAACGAAAATGGCAGCAGAGATCTCATTGGATATCTTCACACCACTACTGAAGAAAGTTTAAAAGGAAGGTGAAGTACTAACTGGTTAGAATAAAAGCTTCCAAAGGAGGGCTACGTAAAGCTTTACACCAATTGGCGTGGAATCATGCTCTTCTCTAAATAAAGCAACATATTAGGTGACATCCTCCCAGAGGGACTAAAAGATCCACATGATGCAGAACTCAATCCACCAGAACAAGTTGAATTTAGGAAAAGCAAATCATGAGCAGATTGAATCGCAACACTGCTCATCATTATCGAAAAGTGAAAAGAATGGTACTCAGATCTCTATCTAAACTTCATCATTTTAGACAGCGTTGATCACAAAGTAATTCGGAAACTAATTCAGCAGTATGGAGTGCAGTACTCCGAATATTTATCAACCTCATTCAACAGCTCTATGACAAAGCAATGTGTCAAATAATCCACAAAAGTAAACTCAGAGAAGCCTTTGAAGTGAAGACGGGAGTAAAGCAAGCCTGCCTGTCATTACTGATAATATTTTTTGGCTTTGATGGATTAGATTCTGTATCAGACTGCGGGGAGCGAGAAGACAGGAATACGTTGGGCCGATAAGAAAACTCTAGAAGATCTGGATTTCGCGCATGGATGATTTAGGTCTAATGTCGCACAAACTCGAAGAGTTACAGGTGAAAACCAACAAACTGGCATAAGGGGCAGGTAGCGAAGACAGGACTCCAGGTGAAAATTGAGAGGATGGAGGTGATGACGATAACCATACGAAAAGCAACAACAACCAGCATCAATCACCACCACCAGAACAAATCTTAAAAAGTAACTTCTTCCACTTATCTATGCAGAATCGTTTCAACTACAGAAGGCAAAACGAATGAGGTTGTTAAAACCAGCCAGGATCGGAAAGGCAAGACTGAACTGCATTGATCTGAAATCAGTTTGGAACTCCTCTGCACCACATAGCATAAACAAAAAGATCCAGATTCCTAACACAAATGTCAAGTCGATCAGTTCTTCTCGATGAGTCAGAAACTCGGCCAGTGCGTCATCAAAAACATTTTCAACAGGCCATTTCAGACTTATATCAACAGCTGGCTCCTCTGTCTCCTTAGTGATGATCAGATGGCCAGCTAAAAAGGACTAAAGAGAACATGACAAATTGGAGATTTGCTGTTTTCCTTATTTTCTTGCCTTGTTTTCCACTTAGAGCCCAGGGAATTACTGTCTACATGACAACCATTTTTTGT